CCAACAGTCTCTCACAGTCTCTTTCCCAGCAGTGCTGGTCCCTCGGTGTCTCACTCAGAAATGCGTGTCTCTTGCGTCTCTTTTCCAGCAGCAAGTGTCTCTTCTAGTAGCACGTGTCTCTTTCAGCAGCATGTCTTCCTCAACCAGCAGTCAGAGTTCTGCCGCTAGGAGGCCTCCTTTTGAGCCCAGCAGGGTGTTCAAACTAGCCAATCATAGCATCAGAACTCTAAGCACCTGAGAGAGAGTGGGCACCTCCCAGAACATTGTTTTGTGCCACTCCCAACAAAAATACTCCAGGTGGACAACTTCAGCAATCAGGAGCTCCTCAGTTGCTCATAGAAAATCCCACCTTCAAGTTTACAAAGACTTATGGGTGGAAAAGCCACACTAAGTAATTTACTACACCGCAGGCACCCTCAGTATTAACTGTGTGATTATATAACCAGTATGTCAAACATTGTTTACTGTGTGTCAGTTAATTGGTTTAGTTAAGTTTTTGCAGAAAACATGCTTGTAAGGATGCTTTTCCACTTTGTTTATAGCCACTGAATACAGTTACCCAAGAAGAGGAGGCAATGACTCTGGTCATTGCTGTAGGTTTATTCTTTAAGGCAGTGTTTTTCAAATTGCAGATTGAGATCCATTAATGGAATCTGATGTCTGTGTAGTGAGATTTAACTCAAGTAGACTAAATAGTATGCAGTGCAATGGAGTAAAAGATATCAAAGTGAACTGAATGTAGGCTTGATAAGTATTGTTCCATGAAACTTTTGTTTCTGTTGTATTTCTGTGTACATAAACTGTATTGTGCTGTTTGATATATTTATTGCTATGAGTCAGAGTCAAAATTTCAGAAAAAACTGATTTAAGGTACATGAAGTGTTCTAATCAAATTGAGCTGAAAGTATTAGGTACTGAAATGCAACATGAATTATGATGGTTTTATTTATTTATTTATTTATTTATTTATTATCCAACTCAAACAATCTTAAGGGGAAAAAGTTCATTTCAATTACTCTGATTGATTTGATGGCAAAATCACTTTCAATTACCAAAAATTTTAGAGATTTCAAGTTCAAACAACAATTGTGGTGTAATGTGGTGAGAAAAAAAAAAAAGAAGTGTAATTATAACAGTGTTTATAAGACAGTATTTACCTGGGAGATATCCTATTTAAAAAAAAAAAAAAAGAAAAGAAGAAGAAATGATTAGAAACTCATCTCTAGAATTCGTTGAAACAAAAAGTAATTGTTGATCAAATTAACCAAAGTACATAACTCTATAATTTAAAAGTGCTCCCAAATTGTTTTAAAGTGTGCATCTGGTGAGGAAACTGACAATAGAAATGGCATTTAAATGATTTTTCCAAGTCCATTTTTTTTTTACTATAACTTTTCTATTGTTAAAAAATATAGCATAATTGAATTTATAGAAGAAATTTAGAATTAAATATGAATATATATTTCATTAAGTTACATTTAATATGCTTTGACAATTGTGAAAAATATATTTTGTCTAATAAGCAAAGAAATTTGTTGGATACATGAATACACTTTAGTAAATTGCCATTTATTAAACATAATGGACACTACATAATAAAATACTTTGCTGATTTTAGTTAACTAGTATAGTAAGTATGAGGAACTGTATTAATAGTCTCAAATTGTTGGTGCTCATAATATATGACTGTAAAGGAATATCAGGAGCTCTCGTAGCATAGTGCCTATGGCACTTGACTGTTAACCAGAAGGCTGGCGGTTCAAACCCACCAGCCACTCCCCAGAAGGAAGGTTGGGCAATCTACTTCCATAGTGATACCATCACGGAAACCCAAGGAGGGGGTCATTATGAGTCGGGTCCAACTTGATGGCACATGACAACAAGAACAATAACAAGAAAGGAATATTAGAAAAGATGTTATGTTCCTGATAAATATGAAAAGAATGAAGATTTTTCATTATTTTCAATAAGTTTATTTTTACTTTCCTCTTTCTGGATTCTTTTATTTTTCCTTTCTAATTTATGGTAGATGTTAAGAGAGTTGAGTCTCTGTAATAATCAGTTTATTTGATATACTGGTTAAATGATAGCTAAAGAATAAACATAAATAAATAATGCTACAGACTTAATTGCAGTCACTATTAACTTTTCTTGGTCTTCCAGTGAACGATACTCTTCACATAAGTAAAAGTAAGACTATTTAGGAACAAACATCCTGTGAACATTATGCAGTAAATTGCATATGTTTGGGTCAATAATCCTCTTACTTTCAATAAAAGGCAAGAAATTAATAATTAGCATTGGGACTGTTAAGGCAAATACTTTTGATATTCAATCAGTTCTCTTTCTTAATATTAGGCCATAAAAATTATTTGGATTTTTTGCATATTTTTTTTTCTCCTCCTTTTAATGAACTTCAGAAGATAAATTGAAAAGATCACTCTAGAGTCTACTCCTTTGCAAATCCTGCTGTCATTCACTAAGCATGGATACAGTAGAACATTCAGTATTCCCCAGAGAACTTGGGTTTGCTCATTAAAGGAATTCACTTATTGATTATAAATCCCTAAGATTGAGGATTATGTGCAATTCTTGTTTTGTAGTAAACTAATAGTTACAAAATAAAGTATGAATACTCATCAATTCTGTTGAAAGTGAAAGTGGTCAGAAAGCTTGTCTCTATTTTAGTTTGAGGAAAGACAAAAATTGTTCCTGGAAAAGCACGAGGCACATCTAGTCTCCCCTCACCAATAACAACCTGAAAAATTATTTTTGATCATTTAAATGACATGTATGGTTTTTCATATATATTTTCAGAATGAATGAAGCAGAAAAATAATTTGTTTTCCACAAAGAACAAATAGAATTCTGACAAGATTCCCTTTGTAAATAAAAAACAAAAACAGCCTTTATAATGGCGCAAGACAATGTTCATCTTCCTTTTTCTTCCTCTCCTCCCTCCCTTCCTTATCAAGTCTGTTTTCTAGTAGTGGAGTGAATGTGATGATAGGAAACCCTTTGATGTGAATTTGCTCTTGAGCTTCATTGGATGTTCAAATGCTGACGGACAGAACATCTTTAGTAGGTCATACTGCGTTCAGCATCTTCAGCTCTGTTTTTTTCCTCCATAGAATAATTACAGTAAAACTTATTTTGAAGTGAATCAGTATGATTATTTTTTTCCCTCATCAAAATCTGTGTTCCTTGGCTGTGGTCATTTTTAAACAAAGAATATCTCGCTGGATATTATTACTTAAATTAAACTTTGTAAAAATTACATTTAAAGAGGAATGTAAACAGTTGTGCATTTTATAAGGACAGATTCTTGAACCTATTTTTTCTTCTTATTTTCTTTCAAAGACATTTTTGACTTTACTGAGAAGCTAAGCTGAAGAGGACATTGGCAGAACTTTGTATGCCCTTATGCATAGCAATTGATGAGAATTTAATAAGACAGAAAATAGTATCTTGCCAAGTTATTAACTTCAAATCTCTTATTTACTTTAGAATTTCAAGATTTATGGAATACCAAAAAAAAAAAAAAAAAAACTAGGGAGGTAACTCAGAAAGAACTTGAACTTTCTTGTTTCCTACAACATTTAAAAGAATTAGCTGTATAACTTAGCTATATAACACCATGACTAATATTTCAATAAAACCTATGAATTAACATGACTTAGTCATTTGTTTTTTTTTCACCCCTCATACCAGTAATGTCAAGCTGATTGACATATTGAAACCAATCATTTACTATGTAAAATCCATGAGTATTTGCTTTAATAAACATAAAGAGTAATAATTAATTAAAGGATTACTAAAGCTGTTGAAAAATAAATAAAAATGTTGATGCGAAGATTTGCTGTGGTTTAGGATAACAGTAAGCATTGTTGATGTCATGTCACCTCATCCTCCATCTCATCTATTTCTTGACATATTTTACAGATATTGCTGGCTAAATCTCAATTATCCACATCCTAACATTATAGACTCACACATACAACAAACAGTCTTGACTTGTATACATGCTCTCATTGGGACTTTTTGTAAAGCACCGCATCCAGTTTTATGTTAAGTAGGTGGGTTGCTGATTTGCCAGCATGCCATTCTTTATCAGGCCTTTATGAATTGTTTGTAACTGGACACTGAAAGCTTTATATTTGTACCACAATTAGCCAAAATAATTCTAGTTATACTCTAGTAAAGATCTCTAGCATGCAACGAATGTCAAGTATTCATGCTTTCTTTGTATTTCAATGTGGTTTCATTTTAGCTTGCTTATTTATTTGAAAATAATCTAATTTGTTTTTCACTGCTTTTCGTTTTGCAGATTGAAAATGTTGATGTCTGTCTTAGTTTTCTAGCAGCCAGAGGAGTAAATGTTCAAGGTCTATCTGCTGAAGGTAAGAAAAAGCACAAATGAATGAATGGCATCTATGTCTTACAAATATTTTTCCTGCTGTAAGAAATGTAAGTTTAGAATAGATAGCTCCTTAACACAGTAAAGGAAGACAGTGAAGTCTGCAAAATATAAGAAACATAGATGTAATGATTACTGATGTAGACTGTAATTATTTTTGCCTATGTATTTTACTAGGATTTTTGTGTTTGTTTTTTTTTTTACATGGGGGAGTAGATGGTAGGGGGGAATTAACTATCATCATACTGTACTAAAATATAGTGTTATTATCAGAGTCTTAAGTAGATGTATGTACCATAGATGCATGGATAAATGCTGGATAATAGATGGGCATAAATACAGGCAAAGAAAAGATAATCAATGTTTAACTTTTATGTTACCAATAATAACATTTCTATAATATATACCAGTTGATAATGATAGTCAAAATATTTAGAAAGTTTAAATAAGTGCTCTTGAGCACTAGCAATATTAATAATTGTATATTCAAAGAATTTAAAAATAATTAAAGATTTGAAAGACCATCATTAAAACTGAAATATAACAAAGTAGGG